TGACCATCGGTGTTTACCTTAGTAACGGAAACGAGCCTCTCCGTCGACGAATCAGATGCCGCATAACAATGCTCGACATGAGTGGGAAAGACAAGGAGGACTGGGTGCTGGTGGATGAGACGATGGACTCTGTGGGGGCGTGGGCCAGAGGAGCGGAGGTTACTATCAAGCTTAAGGAAATCTCCAAGTTCTCCAATGAAGAAGGAAGCTTGCTTTTCCGATACGATACCGAATGGTGTTAAACAATTGGAGGACACGCGTCCTGGTCTTTCAACACCGCTTGAACACGGACTGTTTTGAGACACTCTGGAAAAGAAGTAGAGCTTGGTTAGAAATGCAGGTTTTTAAAAATTTCTTAAACGTGCCATGTTATGTGCAAATGTATCGTGTTTCTGTTGTTTGTCGTGTAGTTTGAAATGTGCCACAACCGGGCGTTTAATGTGCTGTCTGACATGTGTGTTAGGTACGTCATTAATTAAATAGTTCATACAACTGGAAGTTGTTCGTTTGATGGATGCTGAAGTTCGTTTGGATCATGGAATACTGAGTACTTCTACTTCTTGTTCCGGCAACGAGAGAGCAGACAAGCTGGCTGGAGAAGCAAAAGTGGGAGGGAATTTGACACTGGACCAACCAACCGTCCTAACCACTGTAAGGGAAAATTTGAGGAAGAATAGGGCGGATAGCGGTTCCCACACTCTAGGCAGACTGAAGGAGAAGGGGATCCAAAGAGGAGAGGGGAAACACAGCCATCTGTGCAAACCAGTCCGACGGATCTCCATCCAGATCATGATGGAGACTAAAAGTAGACAGACTCTGGGATGTATCCTGAAGGGGGGGGGGGGGAGCAGAGATGGACATGTTCCGACTGCAGTGACCCCGACACAGTTAGCAAGAAAGAGAGTAAGACAAGTACTTTTTTTGACGACCGCTTGATTCCACCACATCGCGACACATGTTTCTGGCGTAAATCATTGAGTTTGAGTTTTTGATGTTTTCAAAGTTGTCCAGTTTCAGTTGCATCAGGTTCTGAAGGAGTGTTGGTGTTTCTGTACCTATTCTTTTTAGCACAGAAGCAGCACCTGTTAAAGTCATGAATGACATGCTTACTGACTGTCGTTCTGGAAACGTTGTGTTGCTCAGCATTTTGCATATTTCAGCAGCTTTTAATAAAATTGACCATGATATTTTTATTGAAGCGATTGAGAGTGTCTTGTGGAATATATGGGACTGTCTTTAGCTGGTTTGTTCCTACCGATTAAATCGATATCAATCTGTTGTCATTAAAACGCTAAGTCATCGTATCGAACTCTTATGTGTGGGATCGCTCAGGGTTCAGTCTCCGGTCCAGTTTTGTTCCCTTTTAATGCTCAACTACTTGTCAAGAAAATAGTTGAAAATGACTTAAAGCAACATATTATCTACTCTGATGATGATACCCTGATTTATGGTTCCACATCGTTTACCACGTTAGAAAAATGTGTCCTTCCTGCTGAAAACTGTATTTCCTCGTGGAAAACTATGGAAAACTGGATGAAGAAAAACAAATAGATGCTGGGTGATGATAAAACAGAAGTCATTCTGGCAGGCAGGCAATGCAACGTATGTTACTGAGCTTGACCACGATCACATGAAAATTGGTTGAGCGGAAATTTAATTTTTAGGAAAAGTTAAGAACTTTGGCATCTGTTTTAATTCCAGTTTGTCAATGTCGACTGAGGTTATCAGTGACATGTATTTAGAAGTAAGAAAAATTAGTAAGGTACGTCTTCTGAGTATACTGCTTTATTAGTAGATAGCTTTTTTGTTTATCAAAACTGGATTATTGCAATTCCTTGTTATCAGGAATGTCGCCAGAGAAAGTGAAAAGACTTCACTTTGTCCAAAAGAGTGCTGCACATTTAGTTTTACAGAAAAGAAAGCGAGACTCTGCTACGCCTCTTTTACGAACATTGCATTGGCTTCCTGTTGAGAAAAGAATTGTGTACAAGTTAGCCACTCTGAATTTCAAATGCTTAAATGATAATGGCAATAATGCACCATCATAATTATCAAATCTTTTGAAAATGTACATTCCAACTCGCAGTTTAAGATCATCAGCAAAAAGATCATGACAAAAAGAAATTTCTTTTATCATCTATAAAAGTTAAAACAATTAATGAAAGGACATTTGAATACCAAGCCCACTGATCTGTACTGCCCAGTAGTTTGAGAGAGAGAGATCAAATCCTTTAATTCATTAAAATGTCAGCTGTAGTGATTTCTGTTTTTATATTAAGGAGATGAATATTAAGAGAGAGATTTTCTTTTGATCAGAACACCGTGTACTGTTCATGTTATGTTGCTGTTGTATTGTAAATCATTCGATCACCGCTTGTGTACTTTAATCGGAGTTGAAATGCCTTACATTATTATTATTGT